GGGGAGCAAAGGGGAAGAATGGTGCATTTATTGTTAACTTCACTGTAAATAAGCGCACTGTCTTTATTCAGAGCTCTGCGCCTGGGTCCTCCTTTCCCTTACATCCCCACGGTTTGCCCTGCCAAACCATGACAGTGGCATTGTGTAGAGAATTTTGAGATGAAACAAAGTAATTAAATCCCTTTTGGAATAAAGCTGTAACATAACGAAACATGGAACAAGTGAAGCACTGTGCATAGTGTTTTTACAACACTGAATGGCTTGATCAGTGTTCTGATCTGCTGATACATTTGAAACTACATCTGTAATTCCTCATTTATTCGGTGGAGCTCGTTTCAGCTATGGTAAAATAACCAAAGAATGTTTTTTCTAAAGCAATACTTGCAATGAGTATTACAGTGTGCCATTATACAGGAGTGCTGATGGCTGAAAAGAAGTTTGTAGGTCTCTTAACCTACAGGGAGTGCAGAATTATTAGGCAAATGAGTATTTTGTCCACATCATCCTCTTCATGCATGTTGTCTGTATAGGCTACTACCAATTAAGCATATTAGGTGATGTGCATCTCTGTAATGAGAAGGGGTGTGGTCTAATGACATCAACACCCTATATCAGGTGTGCATAATTATTAGGCAACGTCCTTTTCTTTGGCAAAATGGGTCAAAAGAAGGACTTGACAGGCTCAGAAAAGTCAAAAATAGTGAGATATCTTGCAGAGGGATGCAGCAGTCTCAAAATTGCAAAGCTTCTGAAGCGTGATCATCGAACAATCAAGCGTTTCATTCAAAATAGTCAACAGGGTCGCATATCTTCCCTTTGGCTTCACCTGCACAAGTGCCAAGGTAGGTTTCCCCAACATAATTCGTTTTCCCTGCGTCGGGAGCACATACTGGGCTCTCCAAATCATGGACAAACAGTATCCCACATTCTTGATTTTTAGTTCACGAACACTTTTTTCTTGTAAAACAAAGGGGGCCTAGCAAAAGAATTTTGGGAACCACTGTTCTAACTGAACAAGAAGTCACAGTTCCAGTTTAATTAAATGTTATCACAGCTATACAGCTTTAGAGGGCTTTGTACGCATCCCGGAAAGAGGTGTAGCAGTGGTCAAGTAGCCACTTCCACGAGTGTTGAAGTGGATGTGTTGGTGGAGTTTCGGTGAGACTTTCTTCAGGTTTCCCTTATTAAAGTCCCCGGTCGTGATAAACGCTGCCTCTGAGTGTGCGGTTTCCTCGCTGTTGATCGCGCTGTACAGTTCCCTGAGTGCTCGGTCAGTGTCGGCTTGTGGGGGAATGTAAACAGCCGTAATAATCACTGCTGTAAATTCCCTCGGTAGCCAGAATGGCCGGCACTTAATCATCAGGTACTCCAGGTCCGGTGAGCAGAAGGATTTGACCGGGTGCTCGTTCGCATAATCACACCAGCTGTTGTTGATCATGAAACACACACCACCACCTCTGCTTTTCCCAGTAAGATCCTGTGACCTGTCCGCGCGGTGCACAGAGAACCCCGGTAGTTGTATTGCGGAGTCCGGTACCTTGTCCGATAGCCAGGTTTCTGTGAGGCAGATCACGCAGCAGTCCCGCATCTCTCGCTGGAATGAGATCCGTGCCCGAAGCTCGCACAGCTTGTTCTCCAGAGACTGCACATTAGCCAGTAATAAACTGGGTAACGGTGGTCTGTTAGTGCGCCGTCTCAGTCGAACCAGAACGCCAGATCTTCTCCCTCTGCGTCGGCGTTTGCGGCCTCCAGGGCCAGAGAACAAAGGCGTCTCAGGTGAGATGAATGGGGGGTCTGCAAACGGAGCGTCCGTGTTGCAAAACTTGAACTCCGGAAAGTTATAAGAAAGACCGTCTTTTATGTCCAGTAAGGTTTGTCGGTCGTACACAAGGAGACATGTGCTACTCGCGAAAAAAATTAAGGAAAAGTAAAATTAAACACAGAAGAAAGCCGTTGCTTGGGGGAGCTCGCGACGAGGCTGCCATACTCGGCGCCATCTTGTTTGAGCTTCAATAGGCGGTGCACTGTTGGACGGACCAATCGGAGTCTGCGCTGCGGGACTGTTTTGATCACGCGGACTGGGAAATGTTTCACGTGGCTGCTAGGGACATTGATGAGTACACAGACTCAGTCTGTGGATTCATCAGGAAATGAGTGGAAGATGTCGTCCCATCCAGAACAGTTAAATCCTTCACAAATCAAAAACCCTGGATTAACGGAGATGTTCGCGCAGCACTGACGGCACGGAGCACCGCCTTTGCCTCCGCGAACACATCGGACTACAAACATGCACATTACCAACTCCGGAAGACGATCAAAGCAGCCAAACGTGAGTACAGGGACAGGGTGGAGCAACAGTTTGACAAAACTCGGAGTATGTGGCAGGGACTAAACACGATCACAGACTTTAGAGGGAAAACCAGCACACCGCAGACCACGGCCTCTCTGTGTGAGGATCTAAACGTATTCTACGCTAGATTCGACACAGCGAACACCATGAGACCGGACAGTGTGCGCACCGCGGATGACGTCAGTGCGCACACTGTGTCTGAGGAGGATGTGCGGAAGTGCTTCAGGAAGGTGAACGCACGCAAAGCTACTGGTCCGGACGGGATTCCCGGCCGCGTCCTCAGGTCATGCGCGGCTCAGCTGGCTGGAGTGTTCACACACATCTTCAACCTTTCCCTCTCTCTGTCTGTAGTCCCAGCCTGCTTCAAAATGGCCACCATCGTCCCTGTACCCAAATCCTCCACCATCTCCTCATTGAACGACTGGCGACCTGTAGCCCTGACCCCCATCGTGAGCAAATGCTTCGAGAAGCTGGTCAGGGACTTCATCTGCTCTGCACTACCCGACTCACTGGACCCTCTACAGTTCGCATACCGCCACAACAGGTCCACTGATGATGCCGTAGCCCTGACACTACATACTGCCCTGTCACATCTGGAGAAGAGAGACACATATGTGAGAATGCTGTTTGTAGATTACAGCTCAGCATTCAATACCATCGTTCCCTCGAAGCTGGACAGGAAACTGCAGGATCTAGGACTGAGCAGCTCCCTCTGCAGCTGGATCCTTAGCTTCCTGTCTGACAGACGCCAAGTGGTCAGACTGGGCAGCATCACCTCATCTCCCGTCACACTGAACACTGGTGCTCCACAGGGGTGTGTACTGAGCCCTCTCCTGTACTCACTCTACACCTACGACTGCACAGCCACTAACAGCTCCAACATCATTGTGAAGTTTGCGGACGACACTACAGTGGTGGGTCTTATCACCAACAGTGATGAGACGGCTTACAGGGAGGAGGTCAGCGCCCTGACCCACTGGTGTCAAGACAACCATCTCACCCTCAACGTCGCAAAGACAAAGGAGTTGATAGTGGACTTCCGGAGGTGCAGAGAAGTACACACCCCCATCACCATCAGCGGCGCTGCTGTGGAGAGAGTGAGCAGCTTCCGGTTTCTTGGTGTACATCTGGCTGAGGATCTTATGTGGTCAGTACACACAAACAAAACAGTGAAGAAGGCGCAGCAGCACCTCTTCTTTCTCAGGAGACTGAAAAGATTCGGCATGAGCCCCCGCATCCTCAGGACCTTCTATCACTGTGCCATTGAGAGCATCCTTACTGGATGCATCACCACCTGGTATGGCAACAGCACCGCCTACAACTGCAAAGCTCTCCAGCGAGTAGTGCGGTGCTCTGAACGGATAATTGGAGGTGAGCTTCCCTTCCTCCAAGACATCTACAGGAAGCGGTGCCTGAGGAAAGCGGGGAGGATCATCAAGGACTCCAGTCACCCCAGCCATAAACTGTTCAGACTGCTTCCATCAGGAAGGAGGTTCTGCAGCATCCGGTCCCGTACCAGCAGACTGAGAGACAGCTTCTTCCATCAGGCCATCAGACTGCTGAACACGTCATAGACACCTCAGCTTCACTACTGGAACTTTAACATTATGCACTCCATACTGTACAGTAATGCCACTGTTTTGCACATATTCAACTCTGTATATTTTTATATATTTTATTTATTGTTTATTCTATTTAATTTGTAAAATATGTGTATACACACACACACACACACACACACACACACACACACACACACACACACACACGTAGAAAAACATTTAGTATACACATCCAGAAATGCATATACTATTATATATTGTACATATATTTATTAGTTTCAGATGTAGCCATTCTTGTATTTTGCTTGTTTACATTATTGTATTTTGCACAACTCTGTTGCTTGTGAAGCTCGCACACAAGAATTACACTCACATGTGCTGTACCAATGTACCTGCACATGTGATGTGACAATAAAAGTGATTTGATTTGATTTTGATTTTAGATCGTGTGGAGTAGCTTTGACCAGTGGTGTGCAGGCATGTGTTCAATTACTGGGCCGCCCTGATGTGTATTTGCATATAATTAAATGTATAAAGTAAAAAAACAAACAAACAAACAAACAAAAAAACCCTGCCTCATACATTTGACTTAATTATTCAGGTTAAAGAAAAATAATTGTATTTCATGGTGGATTTTCACCAGTATTTATTTATTTATTTATCTGTTTTTTTTATATCTTTTATTTTTTATTTTTTTAATTGTTTATCAATTTTGGTTTTCTTTTTATGGCACGAATGAGCTTCCATATATTTCTACCAACTACTGCCACCTGATTTAATAATAATAAAAATATATACAATTTCACTCTCTGCATGCAGGCTTCATTCTTCCACCAGTTGGGTGATTGAAAAATATTATAAGCTTTATTTAGCTTTGAAAATATAGATAAATATATATGTTTACATACATCATATATTTATTTATTTATTCATTCCGAGAAACGTCTGTAAATGCTAATTCTAGCGGTAAAGTATGCCGAGCAAGAGAGTTGGAGCTTCTTTTTTTTTTTTAGATGTAATTTGATTTCGAGTGGTAAAAGTTGCGGTCATGACGCGCAGTGCTCCAACGCCTGGGATTATTTTTGCATGCAGGCTGACAGCGGAGGCACACTGTGGTGGGTTGGGCTGTGAGCTGTTCAAGATGGCGGCGCCCTGTGGAGTGCAGCTACTCTAACAGGTAAACAGGTCCGATTTTTTTACATCTCGTCTGTTTTTCTCACTACGAATTTCAACGCACAAGTTACGTTTTGGTGAAAGCGATTAGTTTCGCTTGTTTCTCAGCTGGTTGAATGCGGCTGACAGAGTGAATTCTCCGCCGAGTGTGGGTCGCAGCTCCCAGCTAACGTTAGCTCTCAGCGGTGGGACTGACTTGTTTTTGGGGAGACCTGTGATGGGTAGATGTTAAGGCTTTAAGCGTTTCGTTCTGGTTTTATCTGGCTTTTGTTGTTTATGTATTACAAAAGCAGTGCTCAGTTTGCCAGAGAGGAGACGTCTGCATAGTTTTATAATCGGATAAAGTCAACCCAACCCTGCCCATTGTTCCCTGCGAGTTGTTTACGACAAGCAGCAGCCTCTGGTCAGTCCACATACAGCGGGGAGCTCTGCTGCTTTTCAGCTCCACATCTCGGCCTGTCCTGGCTCTGCACGGCCCTCCTCTTCCATGTCAGTATTTTTCCAGTCTTTACGGCCTTTGTGTATTTTTATTTGCTTTTTCACGCTTCGCTATTCATCCCTGTGACAGATCTGCTGCTCCTTTCTGCAGCGTCTCATTTACAGCCAGCAGTTTACTCAAATTCACCTCAGCAGTTTTTTTTTCTATTGTCACACCAGCCATTAATATCCTGTTGTTTTTTGCTGGCTTGTCAACGCCTCAGCTTTTTCAATCACTCCAAAGACGAAATGGGTCACTAGTTTCACACTTTGACCCCCTCGAGCTCTCATTTCTGCCTGTCACATTGGCTAAGCTGTTAAAATTCCAGCACTGGTAGCTGGGCCTTTGCATTATATATAAACACTAACCTAACACATTGCCTGAAGGGATAAATGTTTATATGTGACACTTCTTTAGAATCCATTCATGTTTATTCATCTCAGTCATTTATTTTCATTTGTAAGCCACCCTAACAACATGTTCATGAATAAATGGGTTTCACAGGGGTATTTAAAGCTTTTCACAAATATTTTAGACCATGTGTGATTTAACCTGCATTCTTTCTGTGCATGCTCACAGTCTTGACATAAATGCGTAAAGACATAAGCTTCGTGTCTCTCCAGAAATGGCAGCGTCCCAAGTTGAACCGGTCCTCTGTAGGTATTTGTTTTTAATATAAGCTCTCAACGAATTAGCAACACGAAAATGGCAACTACTGTGCTGAGCTGATGATAGATGTCCTTAGACAGCTGGTCAGATTGGTGCCCAGGAGATAAGATTAATGTGTGATATACTCATTATTTCCCAGGCAATATAAAATGAACCACATCCCATGCATGCAGCTGACCTTTTTCATTTTTCCGGTCAGCAGCATGCATGGGATGGAAAAAAATAAATAGATGTGACTAATGTCAGTAATACTTAAAGCCAGGTTTGCAGAATTTCCTGGTTTGGTTATCTATGCAGAATTTTTATTTAATTCAAATTATCATCATTATTATTGTTATTGTTATTATTATTATTTTTGCACATAACTCATTTTAAAAAATGGGAATACTGTGCACCAGCACTTAAGAGTTAGGCACCAAGGCTTCCCTCTGTCATGGTGAGAAAAGGTCCGAGCTATTTCCAGGGAATACTGACTGTTTTCAGATTAATGCAGTTTACCACAAGCTCCCAGCCACCGACATGGCCTCATACTGCCTGTTTGGATTTCTGGTTCTGGGAATTTTGAAATGATAGCCACCCAGTCATAACTGTTTAGAGTTTGTTTTCAAGTGTTTGAGGTGTTTTCTTTCTTTCAGGATGTTGTTGTGAAGGAAAGAAATTAAATTTTAATTAGTTGTGCAGCACTAAACTCCTCAAGACTCTGCCCCGAAATGTCCAGCTTAGCTAAGCAGACATTTGACAGTGTTACAAAGTCTGTGTGACATCCAGTGGTGCTGATAATTGTCTGGTAAATTTGCAGCGAGCAAGTGGGTGTCATGTGTTCGGCCTCACATGTACACTACCCAGACAGCACCCCTCACCTACCCCAACACAGTATATTAGTAAGTGTAGCCTTAGCTTCTGAAGGAAGCATAACGTTGTACAACATCCAGATCTCATTCTTACAACATTACCTAAAGACAGTTTATGTAGGTGTGCACAACAAGTCTGAATTAATTATATATATATATATATATATATATATATACACACACACACACATGTGTTTCATATAAATACTTTAAATGTGGAGTCTTTTCAGTTCATTCAGTTTCATATTTGCATGTGGTGACCTGCTGCTTTTCTATTTTATCTACCATTATTTAATCAATTAGTCCAACACAATTTATTACATTTATAGTAATTAATCATTGTATTAAACATAATACTGTTTTCTCATTTAACATCAGACTCTTGTAAATTGTGACAGACATTTTTGCTGTTTTTTTTTTTGGATGATTTATATTTAAAAAAAAAAATACCAGATGGTAAGAAAATGATAAGAATAGATGTACACCGATTTAAAAGTTCATGTAAGATTTAATATGGTGTGGGATGGTTTGTTTGTTAAACAAAAGAAGCAATTTTAGCTCTGGGAAGACTTGATGGGGCATTTTTCATTATTTTCCACCCATTATATAGCTCAGGAATAGAAAGTTAGTTGTATCTTTGCTCAGTCCAGTAAACTTCTGCAAACTGTGTCTGATTAAAAACTTATTCAAACGGACCATATAGCCACATCATAAAGAAGGCAAATGTCCTTCTTCTTTTAAATATTCACGCAGGAGAATAGAAGGCTACTGCTAACAGCTCGCGCTCGGCCAAATGTAATTTTCAGTGTGTACATGGAAGCGCTCGGGCTGCATAAAGCTTCTTTGTGTGCTCCTGAGCATTCCCAAGCTGCCTGAGATCACACTGAGGCTAACTCTTGTTTACACCACTGACCTGTCCCTGCAAGACTTCATTTTCACCCCAATTCTCAACCCCTGTGACTCAGCAGTTAATTGATTTAGAAAAAAAAGAAGAAAACTGGGCTGTGACTTGTCCTGTGAGTGAACAAACGGGAACATGTGCAAATGTTAATCGTGCATTTTCGGTTTTTTTAATTTGTTTTGAATGGGAGCATCCTGGAGCGACTAATATTGTCACGTTTCCATCCAGAGGGGAAGTGACACATGACTTCAGTGGAAATACACTGGATATCGATTCATTTATTTTCTCCGGATAAGCTCCTGTTATCTTGGGTTTCATAGCATGTGACTCCATGTTGAAAGCTTCAATATTTTTGCACTGATAGTTTACACCCTGTGAGCTACCAAAAACAAACAAGAGTCTCATCATTTTCTAACTTGTTAGGGGTTGTGGTTTAAGAGCTTAAATGAGATCTCTGGTGCTGATTCATTATTCCTTTTGGGGAAGAAGCTGCTGGGTGCAGACACCCTGATGCTAATGGCCTGTCTATCAGTATTATTAATGCCCGTTTCTCAGATGGAGATTTGCGAGGATTCCTTGGCCTCCTTTACTTCGAACAGCTGACTCAGCGTCTAGCCTAAACAGACAACATAAACAGACTTATCCCCTGAAATGGTAAACACATTAGGTCCCGTTGTATTTAAGTTTTTTTTGTTTTGTTTTTTCAAAGCACATACTTGTGTATACTCAATATAAATTAAACAACTTCTCACTTAAAGCTCAGATAGTAAACAGGCAGAATTTGAAAGGATTCTCTTGTCTTCTTGAGGTCAGATTAGCAGCAGGTCACATAGTTGGATCCATCGACACTGCTTAATCCGCTCCAAGTCCGTTCTCTGACCTTTTTTTTTTATTTTTTTTTTTTTATTTGTCCCGCAGTATGTTTGACAAGTGAGGTGGTTTATGTGTGTTTGTGTCAATAAAGCTGCGTGTGGTTCAGGACTTTGATGGAAAAACGGTTATAGCCTGCTGAGCTTGTGCTTCCCTGAGGAAAAGATTTAATTTTCTTACTTCAAAAAGCAAAATGTATAGGCTTGTTCCAGATTTTTGCCTTGTCACTGTAGGAAAAAGCGTGGGTTTAAGTAACATTATGAATTGGCTCCATTGTCAAATTGTCACGACTTCCTTGGACGTTTGATTAATGGTAAAAACTCTGCATTCTCTGCGGTGACAAAGTTAAAATGTCTGCAGAGGAAAACAGTCGGTTTGTTTAATATAATTGAAAAATAACATGAACTCTGTCATTTCTTTGAGCCACATCTTATCATCAACTGTTTGGTTTGTTTGTGTCACTTTTTGCCGTTTTCAAACTATTACCAAATTATTGCTCTGAAACTATAGTAAATGCAAGTTTTCAAAATGTTATCACACTGTTAATTCAACCTTATTAATCTCTTCAGATATTTTATATAATAGGGATCTCTTATACTGACTCCATACTTTTATTCTTGGACCCATGATGCATAGCCCAGAGTGGTCCTTATTTATCTTATACTGGCTTTGGTGCTACCACTACTTCATCCTCATGAACTGGCAGTATATTCTTGCCTTTGACCCTTAAAAATGGTGGCTCCTCAAAAGTGGTGTTAAACCTGGGGGTGAACTCTGGCATGGCCTGAGCTTCCAGGTTAGAACACATGGGTATTCTGTAGAAAACCTCAACAATTTCTCTGTTTCTTCTTTTTTCTTTTGTGAGCACTGACGTGGTGATTCTTTAGTTGTTTAGGAGAAGACTGTAAGGAGTCCAGTGTGCCTCAGGCTTGAGTATAAATGGTTACTGGTCTATGTTGACGTCACAGTTTGCATAAGCTCTGAGCACCGCGTCAACTGTAACCACGGTTTTATATTCTTTTCCCTTAGGGACACCCTCCCTTTAAGCCATCTTCTTTCTAACTGGCTCCCATTGTGTGAAAACATTGACACAATAGCATCCAGTTAGAACTTCAGAAGGAAAGGCTGGTGAATGTTCCACCATCCTCACCAGTTTATTGGGTACTAAGCAGGCATCGTGAAGTCAGGGTTTTTCCTGCTTAGAGGAATTTTAGACTGACTAGCTCTAATAGAGGATTCCTCTATGCCTTCTGGTGCTGCACTTTTTGATAACATGTTAATTTGGCTTCATAAACTCAACACGAACACAATTATGTTTCGCAAACGATCAGAAATAACAGAAAAATAATTGATTTTGCTTTATGTGGCCCTCTTAAAGGCCTTATTTGGCCTCATCTGCGGGATGATTGAGAGACTTAAGGACCACTGCGTGTCTTTACAGCAGAGACGTTGTATTCATTGCTTATAACTTGAAATTACATGGAAATATGGCTGCGTTGTCTGTCATTCACACCTCCCTCACCTGATAGGATACGATGACAAGGCCATTATGTTAGTCAAATCAGAGCTCTTGTGGGTATCACAAAAGAGAAGTCCACTCATTTAGGGTTAACTTTTTTTCTCTCTCCCCATTTAAGAGAATTCTCTTTACTGCAAACCCTGCTTCCCATTACACCGTTGATATTGTCACGCAAGCAGTAATCCTGGATCAGAGCTTAAACACATTCTTGGAAATGTTTTTGATTTGATCTTGGTGCATTGTAGAGGTGCCTGGAGACTGTATTGGTGGGTGGGTCCCAGGAGTCCTCCAGGCAAGTGGGGACGGACGCCGTGACAGAGACGCTGCCTCCACGTCCAGCACTGCCACCACCATGGCCAGGGAGCAGCCAAATGTGGGGGACCTCCTCCCACTCTTGGAGACCTCTGACCTCCACCAGCTAGAAGAGATCAGAGGCCTTATCAATGAGCAGCTCAGCACTGGTAGGCACTTGGCTTGTTATGTGTCAGCACAGTTTATTCTGGGCACAGCTTTCTTTCTCCCTGTGTGTGTGATGTCACTACAACTTAACAGAATAAATAATTAAAAATTATATGCATACTTGTGCTTCTTCAGTGAGTTTCTCATTCTGTTCACAAACTCTGATCCACTCTCTTAAGTTGCACCTAGCAATGGTAGTCCTTGTTCTGCTCTGCAGCCTTGGTTAACTTAGGTCATAACCGGAAACCCCTCTTAACCCTGCGATGTAACCTTCAACACCAGTTGTAGTCGTAGCAGGCTATGTCGACTCAATGTGTAATTTGCAACATAGATTACCAGCTTAAGCAGAAATTGGCCATTAGACTAGAATATGGACTTCCATTGCTAGCTGTAGTCCAGGAACGTGGAGGTTGAGTTTGTGAGGCAGCTGAAGGCTATATGACCATGAAAAAGATAGCCTAGTCAACCTGGCTGTAAGGAAGTAGGAGAAGGGAAGCTAGCTGGTAAGCAGTGATACTGCTACTTGAGCAATTGCATCATCTTTTCAGACAGATAAAATAATACATCACAAAATGTACTTGGGTATCAATAGCCCATAAAAGTAAAATCTGTGTGTGGGGAAACCACTGAACTTTGATAACCTTGGCCATTCTGTGCCGATTGCATCTCATTCTTTTAATAATGCTTGCTTTATCACCTGGTTTAACTTACCTCACTGCATATTTATTCAAAATCTCCTCCCTGTTTTCCTTGAAGAACGTGGGTCCATGCTGCTAAACACGCTGGTGGACTACTATTTAGAAACCAACTCCGCCCAGGCTGTGCATATCCTGTCATCTGTCAGAGAGCCACATGATAAGGTGAGGTGGAGTTTGTTTGTTGTAGCTTACCTGTGACGTGGTACTTTTTAGGGTAGGAAAAAAAAGAAAACCAACAAAACAAAAAGCACTGCTTCTAGAAACATTAAACTCTATGTATTGATTGGTCATTATGGTCCTCTATAAAGTTGCAGCTTATATTGTCACAGATTAGTTTCAACATGCTTTAAAAAGGAGACTAACTGCCTGTGCTGAGTACTGATTGTGTTTGCTACCCTGACCCTAATGTCCTTCTGTCACAGCACCTTCTAGATAAGATGAATGACTGTATGACCAAACAGGCCTGCCGGCTGCCCACCCTCACTCTGCTCGGCCATGTAGTCCGCAAGCAGCCGTCCTGGATCCACAAGATTGCTCGATACCCTCTGCTACTCTCACTGCTCAAATGCCTAAAGGTAACGACCCAGATACGACTCGATGAACAAAGAAATCTTGTAAAGGCACCGAGTCGTGTGTGGATGGATGCGGATCAGAAGTTTTTCATCCAAGCAGCTTTTAGAATGGATTTAATTCTAGTGAGCACACAAAGCAGTAGATTGTTTAGTTTTCTGCTTTCAAAGCAGTTACTTACCTGGGTTTTGTTCATATACACACATCTTTGAGCTGTTACTAGCAAGTATTTAAATGTCTACATTAAAAACCATTAGACACAACATCATTAAACACAACATTACTTACAGAGTATAGGCTAAGAATTGTATTATATTTATTGTATTGTACTTTGGCTTGTATTATTTTTAATAGCTACAACATACCCATCCCCAAACCTCACAAAATCCGCCTTAGCTCTACTAGAGCTTGTCAGCAAATTGTATGCTAATACGCTAAGCCTAAGATTTTTGATTGTCCTATGTAATGTCTTTTGTGTGCCCTAAACCTAAATACTTTCACCTTGATATCATGGCAGACAGATACAGATGTAGTTGTGCTTATCACTGGAGTGCTGGTGCTGATCACTCTGCTGCCCATGATCCCTCAAGCTGGGAAACAACACCTGTGGGAGTATTTTGACATCTTTGGCCGTTTGGCATCGTGGAACCTGAAAAATCCAGGTAGGAACTTCCTGTCATGTCTCAAAAATATGTTGTCGGCTTTTTGAATGTTTTCTAGTTCATTTTTAAGGGTCTTGATCCAGTTGTGTGGGAGGTAAAGGGGTGTTTTTATAGGCGCTGAGCAAGCTTAGGTTTTTGTCTCTCTAACCCTTTTTTCCCCACTTTAAGGCCATGTTTCAGAGGTTTACCTAATCCACCTACACGCCAGCGTCTATTCCCTCTTCCACCGTCTCTATGGCATGTACCCTTGCAATTTTGTGTCCTACCTGCGCTCCCATTACAGCATGAAGGAGAACATGGAAACCTTTGAGGAAGTAGTTAAGGTAAGCGCATTACTTCAGATGCAGTGATCTGTTGCTCTTCATTAGAGTTGGAAGCAAAGTGATGATGGATGTTAAATTTGTGTCCAACCTTCAGCCGATGCTTGAACACGTTCGCATTCATCCAGAATTGGTGACGGGAACCAAGGATCATGAGCTTGACCCCACCAGGTAAGACAAATTTTATTTATTTTATTTTTCTGTATTTCCAGCAGGACTTTGACTAACATTGCTCTGCTTTTCTGTAGGTGGAAAAAGTATGAAATCCATGATATCGTCATTGAATGTGCCAAAGTGTCTCTAGACCCCAAGGAGGCTTCCTGCGAGGAGGGCTATGCCACCATGCCTGAGAACTTTTACCCCCAAATCCACCTGCGACCACAGGACTGCACTTCCAGCCCCTACCCAGACCTCCACAGTAGCTATGGTCAGTTTTGCATATGAAACAATACTGATACGAGTAAGAATAATAATAGACATGTTGCATTTTTGCATCTGCATCAAGAACCATAGCTCAGGTTAGAACATAGTAGGGATTTTATCATTTGAAGTATTACTTTGAAGCATTACTTGGAGCAGCTTTTAAAGAGCACTGGAACAGTGGTGTCCTAAGAGCAGACTGAAAGTTGCTGGCTGGATCCATTAGTGGCTTGTTCATACCATTTGTCTTCTTGACAACAGGAAGCACTTCTTCAACCCCATTTTCAACTCCACGACAGCCTCTACCCCCACCCCTGTCCTTGCCCCCCTTCTCAGGGACACAATCCTCGTACCGCAGCCCACAGACCTCCAGACGGCAGGTAAGATCATCCATAATTCGATCAAAATCTGTCATAATTGTTGCTTTAGGACACAGGGTTTGACTGATGATCAGAGGGTAGTGCCAGAGCACGTTGTTGTTAAGCTTCTGCTTGATGCTGGCTGTTGTACACAGGGTCATGTTTACACCCCATATAGCACCTGTCAGACAGAGTTAGGCAATTGTTTGTCCAGAAAGCCCTATGAATGAGTTCAAAAAGAACAATAGCTGTCCTCCATGTTTTTGAAAAACGCAAAGAAAAAGTGTTTTTGAGTCCCTAAAATCAGCTGGCGGGCAGAGTCAGGTTCATGCCCCTATGCTTATCCTGCCACCACTCCGTAAGGGCTGGAAAGGGTTTGTTGCCTTGGAGATGCTGTCTCCCTTTTTATTATCAGCCCAGCTGCATGAAGGAGGGGTCTGGGTGTTTTTCTGCCCCCTGGGGTCTGTCTGAGAATTTTTCTCTCCCACGACTGTGACGGATGGATAATCTGGAAAACACGTGAGAGCCGCCATTTTTTACTTGGCTTGCTTCACCCACATCCACCTGTTCCACTATTCAGCCACTATTCAATGTTTTCTAGTTCATTCAAGCTACCATCTGACAGTAAATTAATTCTTACAATGCATTAACAGAATAAGAAACCCCAGCCAATTGAGATGTATTTTAAATTCTAGAATAATAAATATCCTGTAATTTTTGAGAAGCTCAACTCAGGTATCCAGGCAAATGGGCATGCGAATGGTCCTGCAAAATGAGGATAGTCAAGCTTCCTCCAGAAGTGCAATTTTAAATTGCCCCCAGTTAATGTAGCACTGCCAATCTTTCATAAAGCTGATTGTGATACACAGGTGGTCTGTGTCCCTCTCTGTGTGGGCGACGAAATGCATCAGGAAGTTTTAGTCCCCACTTTATAGTTTATAACAAGAGGGCACCAAATCACCATATATGACAGAGAATGATCTAATAATTTTGTTTACTAAGCTACAACAGTATATCATCTATAGACCAGTTTGTTTCCCAAATTTTATTATATTACAGTAATAATGACTCTCTTCTTTGCAGAACTCCTGTGAATTAAATTCCTCCTGTGGTGGGAAAGACCCTCTGTGGAGCCCCTCCTCATTGTGTGGCATGACTACACCCCCTTCCTCAAGGGGCATGTCGCCCAACTTGGAGCTCTCCCACAGTGCCTCACATCTTCCCACCCGCTTCCACTGCACATCAGGTACAGGCTACATCATGCTGTACGTACCGTACCGTTTTCTGACGTGACGTCCTGTCGTGTCTTTTCTGGTGACTGCTGATTGTTTTTGATCCGAGCAGGAGGAAAAGGAACGCCTGCCTCCAGCACCCCAGCCACATCTTCTCCGCCTCCCACCTTATCAGATGACTTTCCTGTAATCTCCTTACCAGCCAACACAGTACAGTCCAGTCCACCAAGAAAAGTATGCTCTCTCAATGCTATCCTGAAAATGTCCATAAGATGCAGATTTTAGAAATCCTGCCAAACACTTTGCATGATAGAATTACAAAAGGTCATTGGCAGTGGGCAGATTGTGATTATTCATTACACTATGATGTTTTCATTTTTTTTTTAATCACTTAAGAATCTGAAAAAAATATGACTAATATGTTGAACAATTCAATGTGCCTTACATGAAAACAGCAGGAGGCAATATGATTTGAGTAATTATGTTTAATGAGGGAAAAATTATAACTTTATTTAAAATGTATTTTAGAATTACACTGGGAAAGAAGAGCTGGAACAAACCATCGATGTGTCCTGAAACTGTCTCTAATGAGACTGTTAACTGTGTGTGACTTTTCAGGATCGGAGACATGGGGAAGGCACAAAGCCCACACTGGTGAGACAAGACCCAGTAAAAGAGCCTGAGAAGAGTTCAGAAGTGGCCACAAGCAAAGGTTAGACGTGATGTCTGTCATTGATACGGTTTATTATCATTCATTTTACAGTAGTCTTCACAGGCCATCACTTTTTGGATTAGATCCAGAATGATCCAATAGAAAACCAGTCTGACTGAAATACATTTCAGATGGAGCTCCAGATGAAGCAGTTAACTCACAACTGTAATTTGATCTGATGGTCCACCCCTCCTGGGCAAGACTCAGTTCTGCCTAATTTTAAAATGCTGGATATTTTACAACAGCATAAACATTTGTAATCTGAGTGAAGTGCACACTTCTACTTGAAATGACCTAAAATGTGTTTGATTTCTGCTTTACTATTTATAGAGGTTTAATAGTTAATTTCTCAAGTTTAGGGTAAAAGTATTTCTTCTTTTTTTTTCCTTTCATTTTTTGATACCATATGCAAACATGTGGCATGTTTTTCGTCATCAGATGCAGGGGCTGCAGAGAACATCTCCATGACTCTGACAGAGCTTTCAGTTTTCATGAAGAAACAGGAGTTGGAGCTGCAGCTGAGAACAGAGAAAGAAAAAGAGAAGGAAGAGGGTGAGTTTCTTTCTTGCAGAAACACATTTATGTACATTGTCAGCAAATTCAAGCCACAAGGACTAAAGTCAACCCAAGAAAATGTTGCTGTACTATTAAAAAAATATTTATTTTGAGGTTAACAAAAAAGAAGTCTATAGTTTCCCCAAGTTATTCACATGGTGTTAAAGGCAGACTACCTGCTGCTCTCATTCCTCTTATTGAATTATAAATGCACACAAAATGCTAGCAAGATGTTGAATAAATTCATGCTAGCCATTTTTTATTCAAACATTGGATCTGAGCAGCATTCACAGGCACATATTCATCAAAAGAGCTGTATGAACTGGTGATTCTGGCACAAGACCTACATTTGAAAATTCTCAATGTCATATGGCTTTTCTGTTTAGTGGTTGCTACTGGCAATCACTGGAGCCATCAAAGCCATATTGATAATCCTGAGAGGCTCTTAATGTAGCAGTCTGCTCCTTTTCTCTTTAATATTACACCTGCAGAGTTCTTGGTTTGTTTGGTTTTTTTTTTTTCTTCATATTTGTCACCCTTAAGTGTTTCAACTCATTACATTTTTATATTAGACAAAAAGAAAAAAAAAGTAAATGTAAAATTCAGTTTTTAAATTGTTTAACGTAATAAGTGGTTTTGCCACCCTGGCAGTAAGAATTGCAGTCGAGCATTTGTAGTAAGTTTCACATCACTGGAGAGGCCCACCTTTCTCTTAAGGCCTGTTTGAGATGCTTTGGCATGACCTTAATCAGATTCAAGTCCAGATTTTGACTAGGCCTCTCCAAAACCCTTGTTTTGCTGCCTTTTTTTGTAAAAGCCATTCAGAGGTAGGCTTTCTGGTGTGTTTTGGATCATCATCCAGCTTCACACCCCAGCTTGAGCTTCAGGGTGCGAACTGATGTCCAACGTTCTCGTTCAGGATATTCTGGTAGAGAGCAGAATTCATGGTTCCATTAATTACAGTGTCTAAGTCCTGAAGCAGCAAAGCAGCCCCAGGCTATCACACTACCACAACCATGTTTGACAAGAGCCTATCCCAGTTGTCATACGACTAGAGATGGCCTACGCTGCCTCTCAAAAAGAAATGAAAGGAAAGTTAAGGAAACTGTACTTCCTAGCCCAATAGATTTTCCCTTAAACTAGTTGCATTCTTTAAAGCAAAGTAATTTGATTTTTCAGAACAGACACCTTAATAAAATTGGATAACACATATATAAGAACAATGAGTCAGTAGGATGGTCTGTTTTTAATTAAATCAACATTCTGATAAACAGATTCCCCCAGTTAAGTTGGACAATTCTCAGCTCATGAACTAAACATCCAGGATGCCAACACATCTGTTTATTTCCCTGTATGTTGAGCTTTCTCTGCATAGTTACTGGTTTAAATCCCACTTGAGCCACTTATAATAAAAATAAATGCACCTGCAGTGCTGCGAACACCACTTTTAACAGAAGCATCTGCCAAATGGCACAAGCTCTGTTTCTAAAGCTAGGTGCTTAGATGTAAACATCCATTCCTTCTTAAATAATAAAAAAAAAAAATACAAAAAAAAATTGGGCGCTAGTTTTGTGATTGCAGAAATATTTAAACCTGCATGTATATTCTGAATGTCATTGTCTCCATCTACTGCAGCTGCCATCACAGAGGAGCTATGGAAGCTCACTGAAGAAAAGCTGGAGCTGTCGGGTGTCAGGGGCTTTGACTCCCCTTTCTATCACACCACTGAAACGCTGACTGGCTGTCAGACACGAGACAAGACCCGCTCCAGCACCCAGCCTGGAGGCACCGTCCGGGACACCCATCATGCTGTATCAACACCAGATAAAGCGGAGAACACCGTGTGTAGCAGCACTGTTGGCAGTGAAAGAGGAGCGGGAGCAGGAGAAGGAAGGAATTCAGCTGTTGGCCTGGAGCAGTCATGCTCCTTTCACACATGTTTTACTCCTATTGAGCACCACCTGCACCAAAGCCCCTCTGTCCCGGATGATGAAGTGACTAAGTTTGGGATGTTCTCCCCGAGTCCGTGCAGCAAGACGCCAGCCCCGGTTCCCTATGAGTCATTTTTTGATCTGGCCTTGCCGAGGGCAGCTTCACTCTTTGTGCACCAGAAGACGTCAGAGGTGGCGCACAAGGTCACCATGGAGAGACTTTTGCAGCGGGAAGAGGGGTTGGAGGATGGAGAGGAGGAAGGGGTAGTGTCTGCTTCACCACTGGAGGTGCTGGATCGCCTTGTTCAGCAGGGAAGTGACGCCCACGACAAAGTTCTCAAGAGGTGAGAGACTTTTAAGTCTACATCATTTTAACACTCATATCTACAGTGATTGTGGTCTAAAACACAGGTGACCTGCACTCCATCCTGTGCCTGCACACATCCTGTGTAGACTCAGCTGCTACAGCTTCTGCGAACACTACAGATTCTATAGATTGTAGCTTATTTGGAAACATTAGCAACAGTGTATTTTAATAGTTTAAAATGTTCTGTTGTGCATGAAAAGACTAGAATTGGTCATGACCCAGCCTCTGATGTGCTATAGTCAGACCAGAAATGGTTTGATTTGCCAAAAATATTTCTTCTAAAAATGTCATGTGTAATGGCAGCAACTGCATCTAGTTTCCTCACAATGCTATTACAAAAGCAGCAGCCAGTAATCTATCAGATTAGCCCCTTGAGTAAAAAGTCAAGTCCCTGTATTTGAGTATTTCTTATCTCCAACTCCTACAGGATCCGCTCAGCTCTTTCCAGTATTTAAATTGATTTTTAAGCCATAAAATATTTTAAAAGTCTTAAGTACTTGTGAGAGATCATAAATTTTAAATGTCCTAATACTTTGACCATATCAGACATGCATTACTACATGTAGTCGGCATTGTTTTCTATTACAGGCTGTTTAGAAGAGGTGAAATGACAATTAGAAGGTGACAGATGGGAAATGCAAGTAGCAAGGACACGAGGTTCCAATTGTTAGGTGATTTCTAAATGTTTTGGTAAAAAATTAAACTTAAAAAATAAATTTTATCCAGTTGAGTCCAATATAAGGTTCAAATTGTTTAGAAAAAAAGGGTGCCAGTGGAGTCTTTCATTTCCACTGTTACCTCATCATCAGTGCCACGTGGACCGCAAGCTGGTTATGTTGGGCGTAATGAAACACCCACAACATTATTAAGTATTTAGAAGAGGGTTTGTGGCTCCTTTGCATAATCCACAACATTTGTGTCATTTTCAAGTTGATGATTCCTAAATCAGAATGTGTGAAGACATTTAGTTTTAATAGATAATCAGTGTGCATTGCTCAAGTTATTACTGTGTTCTGCTGTCAAACATCTTAAATTAACTTTTGAAAAGCATGCAGAAACCTTTTTTTCAACATTGTTGAATGGCATGAAACACATGCCATGAGGTTAGATGCGCCGAAACTGTATTTTCAGTTGTAGTTTTAGTTGCACAGAAAAGCTCTGTGCCTTTCCTGATTAGCTTTAGTGAGTGTGATACAAACTCTGCTAGATGGATACAGTTTCAAAGAAAATTTAAGTTATTAAATATCAACTTTCAGTATGAAAATACTGAAGTAACACATGTATGTTGCGGTGGTTTAGGTATTCATTCTTTAACTTCTTTGTTGTGAGTCAGCCACTCATCTTGATCACACTGAAGAACCTCATGAGTCTGTTTTGATGTGCTTTTCAATGTTCAGAGTGTTTCTGGGTTGTTTCCAGTCTATTACCGCAGTTCCAAAGGAAAACACCCGGTTTGAACAAGCATGACATTGTTTGAAATCCACCTCCCCCTTCTTTTCTTTCTCTCTCTCACACACACACACACACACACACACAGCTGGCTTGTCCACAGTGCCAATAATACAACAGCACAAGCGGTGTCAGCAAAGCCAGGACTAAGCACAGATCATTTAGACTGCATTCAATTTTAGTTGCTTGCTACTGCCATATTTAGATTTTATCTGTGTTAATACAGGCAGGTGGAGAGAATGAAGTTGGCACACACACATGTCAAAATCAAGGCAGAGAGAGAAATAAGACAAGTTACAAGCATGCCATTTTTACTGCGATGTGGTCACCTGTAAGGGGAGGAAATATGGATAACGTATGGGAAAATTGTAGGAGCATAATTATAGCTCTTATAAACAGTCTTGATATATCTTGACATTTAGTGAATTCTAGACTCTGCTAGGTAGATTTTGATACTGTTGGACAAAGCCAAGCCAGCTGTTGTGTCTTGTCACTTCAGCAGAACATAAGTCCCAAGACTGAGCCCACAGAGTAGGCTCTTAGAGTCTGGCGTGATCTGGTTTGCAAAAATACTGAATGTTCTGCTAGAAAGATAGGAGGTGCATCCAGATGCTTCCTCTGACACTGACTTTCATCACAAAAAATGAGTCATTTCTGTATTATTGTATATTTAGCACAAGTGCACTTTTTGAGCTAAAGCACACTTGCTGTCCAATACAGTGGTCTGATTGGTCAGATCGCTTTATTTGCATCCGGTGTGCAAAGGCCATTAACCTGTGCTAACATTTGCTTTTACCGGTGACTACATGGCTTTGTTTTGTTTTTTAGAAAAAAAAAGGGCAGATTAAGAGTACAATACAACAAAAACTGCTCATGTTACTGACCTGTTTTGTTTTTGTTCCCCCCCCCCAAAAAAAAAAAAAAAAAATCTTCTTTAACAGATTACCTTTGCCAAGTAAGTCAGCTGACTGGACACACTTTGGAGGTAAATCCTTCACAACACTCAGAACACCATTGTACACAGATGAAAGAAGCCATTATCAACACTGCAGATGGAGCAGTATATAAATAATATGCATGACTAAGTTTGGCCGCGAGGTCTTAAGACATTTGCAGTATTTTGAAATGAGATGTAAGATGTCTTCTCTGCCTTTGTTTATGCTTAAGCGCACAAATCAAATTTTCTTCAGCTGCAGTTCATAAAAAGGAAAAACAAATAAAACTCTGCCAACCTATAATTACAACTCTGGAATCTGATAATCTCCCTTGGCTGACTGATAGGAGTCACGTCTTTCAAATTACATCTAAAACAAAACTTCACTCTTCACTTGTGGCTGATGGGCATGGAGCCCTTGGATGACTGTAAAGATCCTGGATCAAACTTTCCAGCACATACTCACTAAATTAGTCTATCATTTTTTGATAAGCAAAGCCGTGTATTCAAAGTTAGACTGGGCATTTCCTAGATTTTTATTATTATTTGACATAATTTTAAATATTCATAATGTATATAATATTTATGATGTAAATAACTGGTAATGACATCAGGTTATTCGTCAAACTGCCAACCAGACCATAGTACTAGTTACTTTTTGCTTGTTTAATTGTTGAACTTCAGCCTTTAGTGATCAAATGTTTGTTCTGTTATCATGATGTAAACAAATGCCAATCTTGATTTGAAAATAAGAAAAAAAATTCACATTTTCTTACTAAACTGCACACCTGAACTCATTTGTAAAAGGTGTTTGCTATTTTAAGTGCTCTTTATACCACTGCGTGTGAGTGATTAGCAAAGTTAGGAAAAGCAATAGATTATAGAATATAATTTTATACCTAAACCATTACCTGTGCTCATCTTGTGTTTCACACTCTAATAATAATTAACTCCACTAATTAGTCGTGTGTGTGTTAATTACATTATTATTACCTGGGCTTCCTCAGGCTCAGCTCCGCTGGATGAGCTTCACACGCTGCGCAGCCAGCTGCTCCTGCTGCACAACCAGCTGTTGTACGAGCGCTACAAGAGGGAGCAACACGCCGTCCGCAACCGACGCCTCCTCCGACGCATCATCAATGCCACCGCACTAGAGGAGCAGAACAACGCCATGGCAAGTTTGCAAGTGCTCATTATCACAGATTGAACACTTTCAAACAGTGTTGAAAATGTACAAAAGGTGATGTAGCTATCTTATACACTAGATGTGCACTGATTCAATAGCTTATTTTCATTTGGAACGATAAAAAAAGGGACAAAGCTCATCTAAATTCTTCAGAGACATTCAGTAATCACTGAGGCATTCGGGCATTTCATAATACCAGCTGTCTAATCAGCTGAGGGTCATCTGCATACATACCAATGAAACTGTAACCGAAGTTTTGTTTGCACACAGATTAGTTTCCAACAAATAACAGTTACAAAGAAGTCACAAAGGCTGTTTTGCCTCCAGTAATCAAATGTGTTTGATTACATCCATGTCGCAATCAACCAAAAGAATAACTTTTTACCCCTCTGCCCACTCCACCAGGCAAGCAGCAGGGCAGCATGGACACCAGAGTTTGTGAATTTGGTAACTTGAAAATGAGGCAATGTAGGAACTTCAAATTGATACCACAAGTGCATCTAATAGCAATCTTGGAGTTCGAAGCTCCGTGACCTTGATGTTAGGGTCAGAGTAAAGTTTCTTCTGAATGCATTAACTTGAGAACCAGGCGACATATGTTACCATTGGTGTGTCTACTAGGAGGTTGTATTGAGACGTGTGCCAGTATTTTTGTAAATCATTCAAAAACAGTTCAATCTGAGTTTCTGGTTTAGAAAATTCTGTGCTTATCGTGTGTGTGTGTGCGTGTGTGTGTGTGTGTGTGTGTGTGTGTGCGTGTGTGTGTGTGTGTGTGTGTGCGCGTGTGTGTGTAGAAGGACCAGCTGAACCTGCAGAGTGTGGACATCCTATCTCTAAGGGAGAGCTTGCAAGTGGAGCAGCAGCGATACAGGCAGCTGTGGGAGGACCGGGAGACGGTGGTGACCAGGCTGCACAGTCAGATCAGACAGCTGCAGCAGGGTCGAGACGACTACTACACCAAGAACCAGGAGCTCCAGGTACACATGCACGTTCACTCTTATATTATGATGTGCTAACATTTCTATACGGTATACATTAGAGTTTGGTATTCATCTAAATCTGTCCTGCATGTTCAGAGCAAGCTGCAGGAGTATCAGAAGAAGATGGATGAACTGGAAGCTGAGCTTCAAAGGGCCAACAACAAAGTTTGTCACACTGGTCACCTCCTGAATCAGATGACTATCAAGGTAAAGAAGTACAGAGTGTGAGATCATTTCAAACCACAGTCAGAACTTCGGCTTTTGTTGGTGTTTTGATAGTTTGACATTCTACCTTTGTAGCTACATTACTAGTGCGATAACCTCCACCTGGTGGATGATTGGTGGCTTTGCCACTTGTTATAGAAAAAAGGAAGGTGTCTCTATGCTGTACGTGGTGTGATTACAGCACACTGTAACTCCTTCTGTAAGACTTGCAAAATTTAAATTTGGTTTTAGTTCAGGGTTGTGCATCTGTACAAAGGTTCAGGTAGTTAAAAACTGGATGCTTGTCTTTAGGCAGCAGGACTCGCAGGTTAACCTTGGGAGACAAATTCTCAGTGCACCAACATGAGAAGGTCGAAGACATTGTGCTCCTTACCAGATTGAAAACTGATTCCTTGACTCAAAAATTGCTGTCTGGTATCTGAGCGGTAGAAGTCACCACGGGTTGAAATGAAAGTTGAGTCAGTTAGAGAGAGAAGTGGTTAACTTTCTAAGCCAGCTTCAAGCCTGTGGTGAGGAATCTAAAAGTAGCAGCTGCACTTAAAGCTGCTGCAGGTGCACCCCCCACAGTCTTTGATTGCCTTTCATATTAAGACTTCCTATACCTTTTGCTATAGGAAGTTCCAATCCAGTGGTATGTGTGCCTGACCTGGTTTTTTTTTTTAAGTCAAGCTCTGATATCCTTATATCATATCTAATTATTCTCTGTCAGAGCAAGTTCTCAACTTCAGGGACATTAACGTGTCTTTGCCAACAGACCTATATGACCACTGGTGAGACATCACTAACTTCCTAACACAGTCAGGTTGTGTTTTTGCTCTATTTTTCTATGTGCTTGCTTCTCCTGTAAATGGAAAAACTGTGCAGTACCATGAGCAGGCTTGCAGACAGCTGGGTCAGACTTGGGGAGCTCCAAAAAAACATGCAGATTGTCCCAGGGCTCGTTGCCTTGGAGATATTGTCTCACCCTCTTTATTTTTGGGTCAGCGACACAGGGGGTCTGAGTGTTTTTTCTGGCTCCTGGGATTGGTCTGAAGTCTGTTTCCCTCCTCTGACCCAGACTGAACCAAAATCCTGATGAGCAGGGAGGCGTCTATTCATTTCAGATCAGACAGCATCCATAGGGTCATATATAAGGTCCTTGTTCACGATATTCAGGTTAAGTACAAGTTGGCAGAGGCAAAAGATGCCTCACCATATTCTGAATTATTCCTTAAATTTCTCACTTATTAGGCAGTCAAGATATTCTTCAAGACCATGGCCATATGGTTTAATATCACGACCTGGGAAGTAATTTCTTAGGACGATTTCACAGAATGGCTGTAAAGTGTGACACATTTAAACAAAGTTGAAATCTTTTGGATTTCTCTGTGTACTGAAATATCACATGACTTTTTGCCGCAACTCATTGGACGTTTATCAGAGTCAGATCATTAAGGACTGCTTTTCTCAAATTCTTTCGAACAGGGTATTTGTAGCATAATTGCTAATTTGCCCTCCATCATCATTGTTTGTCTCATTTGTCCTTCAGCTGAGCAACAGCGAGAGCACCCAGCAGCAAATGAGCTTCCTGAACAAGCAGCTGCTGCTCCTCGGGGAGGCACATAAGTTGTCCATGCAGGAATTACAGCACGCAGACGCCAATAACACAAAGGTATGTGTGTGTTTGCAGGGAACAGCAGAGATGACGTACTGAAGTGAAAATGGACACTAATTGGGTTTGTTGGGTGTGAAACAAAACTCTCCCAGTGAAGCATTTTCAACTTCATGGCAATATGAACTCTGGTGAATGAAGTCACAGGCAGTCAGCTAATCATAATGCTTTGAAACAAAGACATGACTGTGCTTATGTACCACTTACTGCTAATTTGCAGATAACTTACCTTGTAGAATATGACAGCTTTGTAGTAAGGCTCGCAGAAAATCTTAATCTGTATTTTGTTCCCATTTTCATGCATTTTTCTTGTGTTGTGACCCACCACCCAGGAGGCCCAGATGCTGCAGGTGTCTTACGGAAAGGAGGTGGAGACTCTACGGCAGAGTCTGCTGGTTCAGGGTCAGAAACTCGAGGCAGCGCAGCAGAGAGTCGCCGAGCTGGAGACGCTTCTCTCCAAGAAGGAACACCTTATTGCAGAGCAAAAGAAGTTCCTCGAGGACGTAAAATGTCAAGCAAAGTGAGCACCAGGATTCAAACAAAAAGAGAATTTAATGTAACTCTTTTCTGTATAACTTAAAGCAGCATTGTGTAATTTGAAAATTAGCGTTTGTCGTAATCTTTGTGTGAGAAGATGGATCGCTACTTTATTACGGATCATAAACTAGTTGTGCAAGTAGGCAAGATCATTTTTCCTACAAACAAAACATTTGGCTCCCCCCACAATTTGGTCTCATGTTCTCTCTCCATGTTTGTCTTTTCCTACATTGAACCAGTGTCTTCTCTCTTTTCTTTGAAGGGCTGAGCTGCAGGCCTCAGACAGCAGGTATCAGGCTCAGAGGAGAATCACTCAGCTGCTGCAGACTGAACTCCTGCAGCTCTACAGCAGAGTAGAGATGGAGGCTCCAGCCAGCACCACCTCCTGCTCACCACCAGAGGGCAGAGATGACCCACACATGCCTTGTGACTCCAGGTCAGAGTGGAGTTGTGATGTTACTTTTTGCCATGCAAAAGTAAAGTCAGTGTTTCAGTCCTTGCTTCCTCCAACCTGCATGTCAAAGTATCCTTGAGTAATACACTGAGCCCTGAGTTGCCTCTAATGCATCCATCAGCGTGTGAGTGTGTGACAGCGCTTTTTTTTTTTTTTTTTTTTTTTTTTTTTTTTAAAGGCATATAATAAAGCACCTGTAAGAGTGTGTGCAAATTCACCAACACTCAGTTTGGTGAAATCGTATTATTAGTACATTACAAATTATATAATATTCTTTTTAGTGCTAAAACGGCAGAGCTGAAAACTAGAGTCTGACACTTTGGTTCAGACACAAATGGATGGATAGCATAGTATTTCATAGATAACTTCTATTATTGTGCGGATCATAGATGGTTCATAGGCTTTTTAACATTGCAAATCTTTAGTTGTAAGGGGAAAAAAATGTCAGTTGTCTAATTTATTCATAAATAACCTGGAGGAGGGAAAAAATGGAAAATGTATGTTTCACTGTTTCTTTTCATTTAAAAAAAAAAAAAAAAGAACTTCAGCTATTTGGTCCACTCTGAAATAATGTTTTTTCTCCCCACCACAGTGGCATCGTGCCAGATGGACCAAGTAACATTCACAACAACGAGGACACAGACAGCAGACCACCACATGACTCCCCTCATGGCAATGGCAGCACTTTATCGCCAGGGCAACCAAAGGCGAGCAACTCTTCCAAGTCAACAGCAAACTCCATCAACGGCAGTCAGGAACTTGCCCCACCCCTGCTGGTGGAGCCCTCCCTGTCCTGCCCTCACGCCAGCCTGCTCACTCCCCTGGCTGCCTCAGACACACCACTCACCGTGGGCTCCTACCCCAGTGCCAAGAGCTTCCTGGGCATGAGGGCACGTGAGCTGTTCCGCAACAAGAGTGAGAGCCAGTGTGATGAGGATCAGCCACCTCCTCGCCTCGCTGGCCTCGCCCACGGCCTGAAGACTGAGCTGTGCGTGGAGTCGATAAGCCCAAGTTATATTGCCCCAGTCAGCCCCGCACCTTCGCCCATCCCTCCCCCTCCCCCTGTTACTCCTCTCACTGTGCCCACCAAGGAGCCCGCCTCTGAGCCGAAGCAGCAGAGGGCTTCCAGGCAGGAAAGTCTCTGCAGAAAGACAGGGGCGGGGCCTGGTGGTGGGAGGGTACAGGTAGGGTCAAGTCGCCCCCGGCAGCAGCAGCTTAAGATCATGGACTATAACGAGACCCATCATGAGCACAGTTAGGGACATAGGACTGAGCTGGTATGAAGGGAGACTGAAATTTAATGACGGAGAAGAGCTACAAAATCGACAAGAGGAACATGTCAGCAATTCAGTGTTATTTGTCCCATTCCCTAAGTGTCACTCTGGGTGGACAACAGGATTTTCACCCCAAGTTCTTCTACTTATGATTGATTTTGGGGGTTTTTTTGTTTGTGTTTTTTTCATAATGCTTTATTTCCCTGAAGAATTTTGATAATGTGATACAAGCAATGTCAGCATGTTACCAGTGAGCACGCTACGCTTGACAAAACAAAGGTGCTGAAAGCTTCACTGACAGGAAGCTGATAACAGTGATAAAGAATCATGAAGCTCCCTACACAGGACACCTTGACTATTTACTTTTTAGAAAGTCAGTTCACCTAAATTGGAGCTACTTTCTATTGTGGTGGTGTGGCTATCCACAGTAACAGACGGTTTGTTGTTGAAATATTTAGAGATCATGTCTAAAAGCTGTGAGCAAAATTCCACTCATCACTATTGCATAAGCTGAGAAGGCAGAAACTGTCTCTTTGACTGTAACTGAAGGCACAAGTCAGAAAACCTGAATTTTGGGTAAACTGACAGCTTACTCACTTTTTTTTTTTTCTTCTTGTTTTTGTTTGAAACATTTTCTTTTTTTCCTATTTAAATGGTAGCAATTCTAAAAAAAAGAAAACACTGTTTATTTTTCATCAGTTATCACTTCTAATCAAAGTTCGAATATAAGTTCGCTTGAGTTTTTGGTTTGTTCCAGTGACATTTTGAACCCACACTTTATTGTTCCTGTGTTTAAGCAGAACATTTCCGACAAACCTTTACGTTTTTGTTAAAAGGAAAATTGGTTTTGCATCCAAATGTTTAAGTGTAGGTGCTGCGGACACACAAAAATGATTATTTCCACAAAAAAGGAAAGTGAGTGAATGAGATTTGGAAACTGGTAACATTTTTATGAATTTTTATGAATGCTACATTTTCTACACCCCCTGCCCCCCCCCCCCCCCCCCTTTTTTTTTTCTTTTTCTTTTTTTTTAAATTTTGGGGTACATGAACTAAAATTGAATCAGACCTGACAGGGTTGCACGACCCAGGTTTTATCACAACATTCAGTTCAATACGATTATTTTGAAAGTGCCAAGCAATATATTTGCATTCTGGCTGACCTCAGTCATCTCTAAACATAAGTGTTGTTTCTCAACTTGTTCACTACGCTTGAAAACAGACATATTCTGTCCGATGGGTTTTCCTTTCTGCAGGTCTGATAAACATGGAGTAACCTGTTCCCCTTTTGGAAGTATTAGAAGTAAACTCTGGCTGTGGAAGTCCATCTAAATCCTGTTGTCCACCGGGAACTCCTGCTGTTTTTTCCTTCTGCCTCGCTATCTAAAGCATGTTCAACAATCCACTTTAAATGCCAACCATAGTATCTACAGCAAACCAAGACAGAAGAAACCAAGACAGAAGGTACAATCAGCACAAACTGAAGGAAGAAATCAGGACTCTCACCGGAGCTGGAGAATCTGGGACAAAATGGCAAAAAAGGAAGTTCGTAAAGCAGTGGCTTGTGTTTAACTGTGAACAATAAAGATCGTCTTCAATGTTTTGCACTACAGTTCTGAGTTTTCCTCTTTTTTTTTTTTTTTTTTTTTTTTCTGGTCATTGTGAGTTTAATCTTTGGACAAAACCAAATGGGTTAATATTTTACTTTCAGCTCTGACTGAATTTTAGTTTCTTGATCTTCATTGACAATATTATTAATTTAGTCGAATTGAAGTAGACAAATAAGCTTACTCTCCTCAGTTAAGCTACTAGAAATTTAAAGTTCAAGTTCTTTAAATTTGGACTTAATAAATTTAAAATTGAGTAAGTTGAAAAGTTATCTGAAATGGTTAACTTACTCAGAATCAGTATTATAATAGTTAACGTAAACTTAAAAACTAGAACTAGATGGAAAAAAAAAAAACTAAGACAAATGACATTGTGAATTTGTAAAACTAAAATAAAAATGTAGGAGATATCCTTGGTTTGATTATGTGTTAATTTGGTTAAAAAACAACAACAAAAAAGGTATCAATTTGCTTAATGGGTTAGGGGGACATGTTTATTCAGACTTTGAACTGCTCCAAGTCTAAGTCATTGCTTTTATAAAATTCCACGTTTTAATTGTAATACCTGTACAGGTTTTTTATTCTTACCTCTGACATATGTCCCCCATACAACAATAATTAAAAACAAACAAACAAACAAAAAAAAAAACACATGAAATTGAAATGAGAAAATTCCAAAAAGTCAAAATAACTCGGAATTTAAAAATTTCAAGATACTCAGTGTCAGCAGAAACAAGCTTCCATAAATGGCAGTTAAAGTTTAGTTGATAATATGGCAAGGATAAGATTAGATTAGCTTAGTTAAGCTAAAATTGCTAGCAGAGAGGGAAAGGGGTTTGTCCAGACTAAAGGTAAGTCCACCTACTATAAACTCTTTTAAGGATTAATGAGGAGTAAATGGGGGTAAATGTCCTTAATGTCACGTGGGAATGTTTTACGGCTAACTAGTTAAATAGTAAGCCTCAAAGTTACTAGCCTGGGCAATTATAGCAAATAGGCCTACTATGTAAAAGTATTTTCTAGTGCGTCCACAAATTGACTAGTTAGGACTTTTGGGCCCAGCTTTACCTAGTATGGCTTTTATTCCAACTATTTGGACAAATACCCCAACAAAAATCCTAAACTACCGGAGAAAAGCACGACATCGAGCTAATGCTCCCTGGCTCTGTCGCATTATTTAATAGATATAAACAACATAGCTAGTAGCAATGAGGTGACTTTTATGGAAGAGGATCAGGGCCAAAATCTCTTTAATGTCAGAATTCTGACTTTTTTTTCTCAGAATGTCAGATTTTTCATAATTATGAAATTAGAGTCAGAATTCTAAAAAAACAACAACAAAAAAAACAGAGACTCCCACTCCTCCCGCCCCATGCAAATATCACTTCATCCAGTTTCAGACAAGTTAAAAGAAAATCTTCATCTTTTACATACCAGCATCTTAACCAAAACAAAGGTTTAAGTTCTTTAAACCTAGAGTTGTTTTTTTTACTTACGTGATAGTATTTTCATCTAGTTTTCTCAGCATCATTAACAACTGCTCGAACTATCAGTGCTGCTTTGCCTTTTTTTTTTTTTTGAAGATTTCAAGCGTGTATTACATGATTAAAAGGTTTTTGTATTGCCCTTTGCTTTGTTTTTGTGTTTAAGTTACATACAAAACAACAAAAATCTAGACAATAAGTAGTAGAATTTTTATATAAAAACGTGAGGGGGGTGGACAACTAAAAAATGAAACAAAAGTAAAAGCTCTGCAGTCAGAAGAAATTACACAATGTACAGTAAAGACATTTTTAAGAACCTTGTGTATCATCTGTACCCGACCCCATTAGATTTTGTTTAATACCTTAAAAAATACAGCTTTTCCTAGCTGTTTGACATTTAAGAAGAACACTTGTTCTGCATTTTCCCAAATGATGAGTACATTTCTGAGATCAGTGTTTTATGGTTGTTGTTTTTCCACGGCCCTCTCTTTTTTGTTTATTTACTTGTACTTGTACTGTTGTGTGTGTTGTGTTGCTTCCACTAGAGGACACTGTTCCTCCATAAACAGATGCCAGACTCTGCAGCCATGTTAGGATCAACCATAGTCTTTGGGATCAACAGGTAAGGCAGCCTGGTAAATACGTTGTTATGCAGGCAATCACCGTAGATGTTTTAGATCCTTAGGCTGTTAATGGTGCTGTTAAAGTGTGTGTATAAACATAAAAATATGTGTATATTTATTTATATAAAAGTATTGATAATATTGCCAATGACTCTTCACATTAATTATTTTCTTTAATACTTCTACCATCATCTACTGTCTATAAATACTGCATACAGAAAACTAGACACAATGATTTACTGATTAATAAATACAATTGAGTTTTTACTAATACAAAAATGAATAGGTTTTTTGTCATTTTGCGTTGTATTTTTTCTGCTTATGGATTGCATGTTTATGTATGTGACTTTGCATGTTGCATCAGTTCCCAGTTCTCTGGGCCTGACTGCTGACTCTCATCCTGCTTCAGAGAATTATTTTTTTTTTCTGAATACAACCGACCAAGTATGATTAGTTTATCAAACGTGTGCATATGTATTCCACGAGAGAGAGCCCTAAAAAAAAAAGAAGAAGGGGGGGAAAAAGTGATATGATTAATTTACCAGCATTCCGCAGGGTCAAGGAAATTGATGCAGGATAATTGGGCACATAGGGAATCCTTGGCAATTTGTGCTTTCAGACTCTACTTGAGAAATTAGATGTCAGTGCAAATGTGAAATTGCTCCTCAATGTTCTCAAAGATTCCATGAAAATTTAAATATAAATCTTTTTTGGTGCAAACTTGAAATGAAGCCCTGTGAAAATGATCTGAATGAAGTGAAAGTGTATGAGAGGGGAAAAAGACATCGAAGCTTGTGTAAAGTTTGGGGCTGCACTCCGAGGAAGATGTCAGGGCTGTTGCTCTCAGTAAAATCCTCATGCAAGAATTCATTAGATTCTTTCTGACAGGAAGTTTGAATTCATCTGAAGACGTGTAATTATAATATTCAAGATATGTACACCTATAATGTAGAATATAACTCAGATGGTGCAGTATAGCCTACTTTTTTCCCTTTGGGCTGTCAGCTTGGAAGCTACAATATACCAGTGTATGACGTGTGTTTGCATGAAGGGGAATAACTTACACCGGCGTGAATAGCTGATGTAAAACAGTTCAATTCCAAGGCTGTTGATTGATAACGTTGTCATTGGTGTTTTAATTGGAAATAAATGAGAAAACTCTTATTCTGAAAAACACCCAGACTCCTATAATTTCAGTTTCTTTTTGTTGTTGTTGTTGTTTTGTAGTGGTTATCAATGAGATTTAGCGCCAGTTACAAGGAACGCTGAAAATTGTTAAATCATAATCAGCATCATCTGCATCATCATTACAGAATTTGATCAAAACTTGCGGGAGATTTGATGTTTGTATGCAAGATCAAGATAAACTGATTGCTCCAAACTCCTAGTTATATTTAAATGTTAGTGTTTATTCCTTGTGGACATACAGTGCAAAAGAAAATGCTAAACAAGAATATTTTTGGTAAGCATACTACATACTGACACTCTGAAAAACGCCTTCATTTGTCCTCATTAAAAGCTTAAAAGTCCATGAATAAATAATCATTAAAGAGGATACTCCCGCCCTCCTTTTTTCTTTTTTTATCTTTGGCCTTATGCAAAATACACTCACTGACTAAATAAATATGCTCCATAAAGACTGTTTAGAAGTGTGCCCTCCTCCCCCCACCGCTTCCACATTTAGAAGGCTGACATGCACCTAAAGATCAGATCCTACATTGGCTGTTGGTTTTGGAGGGAAAAATTGGACCTCCGAGAGTCAACTTAATGCAATTAAGTGAGGATGATGAGTCTTTCTCTCGCTCCCTCTCTTTTTCTGTGCTGCTTGAATTGGTAAGCAAGGCGGAATCAAAACTTAAAGGCAAGAAGAAAAGAAAAGAGCCGGAGATGAGCGTGCACAGACCGGTCCCAGCGGTTTAATTATTTTAATTATCTCTCCTCTTTCAGCTTTCCTAAAAAAGAGGCCATTAAAGGATGCCCGTTTGGGTTAATCTGATTAAAAAAACAAGATGGAGGGAGAGATGAAAGGCAGCAGATGTCAGTGCTAATCAGGGGAGTTAAAACTACTATTTGTGAACTGGGACGGTTGTTAAAGTGGGTAGAAAGTGCGTGCAGCGTGAGTGTTTTTTTAAATGCGCTTTTCCTCACTTCAAAACACCTCCTTCCTGCAGCCTCTGTTGATAAACTTCTCTCTTATGCATCTTCTCAAACTAACGCCATGTTTAATTCTCCGCCGTGTTCTGTAACTGTGTTGGCAGCAGGTCAGGCGAGCACAGTGATGATGGGAGAGAAGTAATAAAAGTTTAAGTTGAGTCCCCAACGGTATGGTTTAGTTTTCATAAAGGGAGGATGGCACTGGAGGAAGGGATAAAAGCAGTATTAGAAATTAGCAAATTTAGAGTGAGAGTTTCTTTTTTGCCTTTACTTGGTAAGATTCTACAGAAAGTTGGCCATTAAGGTATGGGAGTATCGATCTGCCAGTTTCTTTGGTTTTATTCTGAAATGTGAAATGCTTCATACTAAAGATTTTCTTTGCCAAGTTTAAATTTTCTCAGCATCCAAGGGTTTAAGGGCGTCTTGGAGACCAGAAAGTATAAAATGTCTGCACATCTTCTTTTAATTGTATATTGATCTTAAAGTTTCTATCTTCAGCACTGGAAACACATTGGTTTCATTTTCACTGTACTAACAGATTTTTTTTTGGTGTGTGTATGCGTGTGCTTTATGAAAAAAGAAATTTTTCTCACGAAAACATCAATATTTCTGTCAACATATTAGCTTTTGAGCGACAGAATGTTTATTGCACTGTAATACGTAATATTGCACAGACTTTATGTCACTCAGCAGGCCAAATGCAACGCTGTCAACTTTCATAATGCAAGGAGTTGTTAAAGTTCC